TAGGAGATCTGTTACTAAACAGCCTTGATAGCTTTGAAACACTTTTTTTTCCTGTAGATCAAAGAAGTCCTTGAGAGCCCTCATTTACTGACCGTGATCAAAATAGAAGGAGCTGGAGATGAAATTGTGAGCAATGCCATTTCCTTTGCCCTGTACAAAGGCAAGTATTTGTTTTTCTGAGTTTGTTTGGGGATTTAAAAATTGAAAAAGAAATGGCTATTTATTCTCTAGAACAGGTTTCCTTAGAGCAGTGCTATCTCTCTAGAGCTAAGCTACTGCCACAGTGTGGAGCCTGTCTTCTTCTGAAGGGGTGTGGGCAGGCTACAGCAGCAGTATGGGATCTCTCAGTGTGGGAAAGATCCAAACCAGGTAATGGGGAAGGCAGCTTGGAGAACCCTAGGGATGCTGGTAGGAATCCTGCAGAATCTCTGCTGTGTAGAGGCTGCAGGACTCTGAGGAGCCTGAAGGAAGCCTTGTGCTGACCTTGGTTATGAGGTGCTCCTGGCAGCTCCTTTGTGGCCTGTCTTGGACCATAAACACATCCCTGAGCCTCCAGCATCCTCCAGCCCCCCAGTCGGGAAGATGTGCATGGGTGTGGGGAAAGAGCCACTTGGAAGGAGTCTTGTCCTGGCAGTGTGAGAAGCAGAGATGATAAATATGCCTGGTCTTGACCCAGAGGTTGTTCCTGCTCTGCAGCGTTCAGCACCAACGAGCACAACAAGGATAACTGGAACGGGCAGCTGAAGCTGCTGCTGGAGTGGAACCAGCTGGAGCTGGCCAGCGATGAGATCTTCACCAACGACCAAAACTGGGAGGTACAGCCCCCTTCTGAGTGAGTGCAGGGGGGACACATCCCAGCAGGAGCCACTGTCTCAGCACCTCAGCCTCTTGGTGTTTATTGCTCCTGCACTGACACATTCCGTTCAGCCTGGAGAAGAGGTCAGACCTCCTTGGGAGCTGCTGCTTCCTCACAAGGGGCAGCTCCCATCTCTGCTGTGACAGGGATAGGACCCTAGGGAGCAGCTGGAGCTGTGTCAGAGGAGGATCAGGCTAGATATTCTTCCTCTGGACGATGCTGGGCACTGCCCAGGCTCCCCAGGGAATGCCCAAGAAGCATTTGAACAATGCTCTCAAGGATGCACAGGATGGGATTGTTGAGGTGTCTGTGCAGGGCCAGGGGTGTCAGACTTGATCCTTGCAGGTCCTTTCCAACTTGGGATACTCCATGAAGCCATGATCCATCATTCCATGATGATCTATTGTACGATCAGTGGTTGCAAAGGTGATCTGCCCATGCCAGAAATGCTCTGGGCCATCCAGCCAGGGCAACCGTGTACAGAAAAAAAACTGATTCTGATGAAAACGTGACAGTGACCACATGTCAGGCCTTAGATAAGGTGTACACGTCTCATATGTTCCCTAATATTTACTTTTCCACTTCTTCCTAGTCTGCTGACCTGCAAGATGTGATGTTCACAGCCCTGGTGAAAGACAGGCCCAAATTTGTCCGGCTCTTCCTGGAGAACGGCTTGAATCTACGGAAGTTCCTCACCACTGAGGTCCTGAGGGAGCTGTACACCAACAACTTCAGCAGCTTGGTGTTCAAGAACCTGCAGATTGCCAAGAACTCCTATAATGATGCCCTCCTCACCTTCGTGTGGAAGATGGTGGAGGATTTCCGGAGAGGTTTCAAAAGATACTACAAAAACAGCAAGGATGAGATGGAGATCCAGCTCTCAGTGAGTGATGGGCAGTTTGATCCTGCTGCAAGTGAGGTTTTATCTGGACTGCAGTGGTTAGAGCAGAAAGTGCCTTTTACACAAATATTCTTATTGCCAGCTTCAGGAAAAACACGGAGGCCGATTCTTTCCTGTCGAATACTTTAAAGTCAAAGGTTTTAATAGAAATAGCAAATGTAACCTAGCTCACAGTAGTGTGTGACAACTGGCAGAGAACTGAGAGAAGGGATTGGTAAGGTGGCTGTGAAACAAAGAAAATACAAAAACAGGAGAGTCCAGACATGGATTTGTTCCTGCTGAAAACATTTGGTGAGCCTAGGTCTGAGTTCTTGCTCTCTCTTTCAGGAGGAGTGTCCTGTCACAAGGCACCCATTGCAAGCTCTGTTTATTTGGTCAGTTCTTCAGAACAAGAAGGAGTTGTCCAAAGTCATTTGGGAGCAAGTAAGTCAAGTTCTCCTTTATTTCTCTTTGCAGGCAGCACAGTCGGGTTCTGTGCCTTTGGTTTATTGGCCTTTGAAGGCTCCACGTCCAGCTTCAAACACAACACCACAAGAGATAACTGCTAGATGACTCTCAGTAGATTTTATATTGCCCATTTTGTCTGGATGTGGACTTTATCCTTTCATTTCCTAAGGTTGTGTGTGAGTCAGCAGTCTATATCCATTGTATGTTGTCATCTGTGCCTAAGCTGGGATGCCGAGTTCCCACACATTTCACAGCATGGATGGATTCTGATTCCAGCTGTTTGATGGAAATCCAATTTCTAATTTGGATTAGACAGAAATGTAATGATTGTAAAATCCAATAGATCATTCTGGACTGGGAACTGAGCAAAATGGAGGATAATGTTTAAAGGATTCCACCTGGTATAGTGGAAGCTATCCCTGCCTGTGGCAGGGGGTTGGGATGAGATGCTCTTCAAGGTCCTTTCCAACCCAGATCACTGTGGTTTCAGGATTCTGTGATCATGTTCCATTCTCAGGGGGATTTGCATGACTTTAGTCTCTCTCCACAGACCAGAGGCTGCACTTTGGCAGCCCTGGGGACCAGTAAGCTCCTGAAAAGCATGGTGTCTTGGTTTGACAAGACAGGAGTCTGTGAA